AACTCGATAAAAACCCATCTTTTCCAACCGATAAACCTTCTGACTATAAGATTTTCTCCCAAATATCTTCCCTTTGTTGATCGAGTGTAAATACACCTTCTAAAAGGAGCAATCTTTTTATCCCCACAAATACGAACTTTTCCTATTTCCACGGGAACCAACCCATAAAAGATCCCAATTCCAAATATCCACGGCAAATAAAATGGAACTGACGATTTTTTGAGCAATGGTGATTGAGGTGGTGAGGAAATAGTTGACAGGGATGATTCCTTCTGCAGTTGATGTGGTATCGCAGATGCAGTTGTTGTTATGGGCGTTGTTTGTGCTTGAGGGGTGCTTGCTGACGTTGGGAATACCCGTTTACCGTCCTGTTGCCAACCAGGTCTCGATGGCACTGTTGGAGATATTACAGCAGAGGGGTGCACTTGACTACTTGATGATGGTGCGGCAGCATTGCTATTCGATGCTGACTCTGTGCTTGGTGTTCGTGATGAGGATGAAAGAGATTCCTAAAAAAAAAAATTCATCGTTCATTTCACAGAAATATGATGCAATCTGAAAAAAACCTCTCAGGAGACGAGACGCCTGAGCAAACAAACTTCAACAAGATAGGATGAGATCATCACATACGTTCTAGGAAAAGGGGATAACATGACGCGGATTAATGGAAATGGGATAACGCAAGTTCAACGGGTAGAAAATCAAGAATAGAAACGAAGTTCAGTATGAAATCCCAGGAACGTATGAAATCCAAGCATATCCGACCAATCCAACTAATCCTCATGAAACGTGACTCGATCATGAGATGAAAACTTAGAATATGAATACAAAAATGCCTCCCTCCTGCACCAAAATGAATTTCAAATAAGTCACGAGCTGGATAATGTACAATCTGCGAAGAATCCATATTTCTACGAGATCCTATTCACATCTTCTGGAAGAGCGGAGCTACGAATAGAGACGAGACTGTCACAAAATGAATAAAATCCATGAAAAGACCTATATTTTAAAGCATCATCTTACTTAAAGTTATCACAGATCAAACAAAACTGAAGTATTTTGACACAATTGAACTCACGTTTACGAAATCTCCTCTCAAAGTATTCTATTCTCTCAACACTTATCAAATCCAAGCTCATATTATATCATATCTAAACTTCTGCACCATGTAGATTCGAAAGTACAAGATTTATTTGAACACAACTAAAATGATACGACGTCAAACGATGTAATCAATCGATCTATCAGATGTTATGACTGTGATCCTACGATGCGATCGTACGGCTTCTCTAGAAGAACATTCCATGAGAATAAATACGATCACAGTATTTCACGAGCAGATACTAGAGCTCGTCGAAAGTGAAGAATCATTTCTCCGTTAGCTGCTTGCGCGTTTCATATCGAGGATTAGTTTGCTGGCTCGTTTGTCTCTTCCTTTTACTTCCAATCTCTCCAACGGGGAAAAAACCCAGCAAACAAATGAAATCAAAATGAAACAACGTCAATCGAAAATATTACAATAAACAACGCAAACAATAAATAAAATTTGAACAAAATAAAATTTTGAATGAAAGACGAAACAACGACAACATATATATGAAGAGTGAAAGAGTTTTGTAAGAAGCGCAATCAGCTCAGCTCAGTTCAGTGAAGAACATTCATCTGAACAAACAATTTTAACGATGATATGGTGACTACGAAACGAAAATAAAGGTGAGAGCAATTCTTTCTCTGCAATTTCATTGATGAATCACCTCCGAAACAAACTTAGATCAATTCAATTCAACTCTTTCTCGATTTGCTGAAGCAACTAAGGCTGAATAATCAACAAGTGTGTATAATTCGAGCTCATCAAATACTTACGCAATATCTCTCGTTTCATCTTTTAAATGTTACAAATTAAATATACAAATTAGGTTTTCACAAGTTACAGAAGAATGAAGTGTTTTTTAAAGGAAGCGTCATAAGATTTCAATATCTAAAGTGAAAAATCAAACTTTCCAGACGCTTCCCTCTTCCCGAATGACTAACAAATGAAAATGATACTTGAATCAAACTGAATCATCAACATTTTGTGTAGCCGTCATTGATGATAGAATCTCTTAGAACATCCCAAAATTACCCCGTAAGTACATATAAGTTTTCGAATTACTACTAGAAGCTCAGGTTAATGGAAAACCGTATCGTAAATGAAAAATAGGAACGCAAAATTAAAGTATTTCGAGGACTGAACTGATGGAGTCATATTACCAATAAAGTTAAAATCTTGAAAATACAAGACAGCTATAAAAAAGGTACGCACACTAGATTCAGCTGAAAATATTTACGAACTGAGCAAACACTTTCGAGATATGGGAGGTGGAATGAGCACTATCATAAGTGACAATCTCAAACGAAAAACATGAAATATAAGACAGTATCAAATCGGAGGCACTCGAACAAAATACGTTAACTTACAATAACAAAACGTCAAACAGTACACATCGAGTTGTAATTACTAACAGTAACGTCAATCAAATTCATACTTACGCAAATATAATTAGTCATAGGCGAATTTTGAGAATACAAAACACGGCATCCAAACTGTTGATTCGTCAATCCAATCCGCTTACTCACGACAAATCAAATTATGTTCACACAAATTTCAACTTTTAAGATACTTATCTTCAGCAATTTACTTCACATCCTTACCTTTGCATATTTTGAGATATTTGAGATATTCTGGTTACTAACGATAATTCTAAACACTCAATCGAATTATTTTCGGATACGCTAAATTCGATTGTACTCATACTCAAAAAACCAATCGAAACCTCTCACCTTCCTTAAGTAAGGCTCATTTCGAGAGCTCAATTAATTATCCCAAAAAGTATATCCCATATCACACTAATACCCACTTATCCAGCTAACACACGAACGTATACCATATTTGATGTAAGCACCTCTCTTCTTGGAACCTCT